GCCAGTGGCACCCCTCTGTGGACAGACGTGGGGCGGGGGTGGTTCACACATGACAGGCACCACTGCCACCCACCACCCTGCACCACTGCCTCACAGAAACAGGGCCAGGGGAGGCAAGGGCAGCAGTGCCCCTCTATGGGTTGCACAGGTGGGTTCCATGGGCTGCTGACAGGCGGTGCACAATTGGCTAGACACGAGGCCCATCAGCAGTGCAAGGAACTGCACGTGCAATTGGCCATGAGAAAGTAGGGTGTGGCGGCCGTGCTGGGTGGGGAGGCAAGTAGCAGCGGTGGTGACCACCAAGTGCGAGCCGGCCCCTGCGCATTTGGCTGCCACCACCAGAAAGGGTACACTCATTTAAAAAGGTTGAAAACCCCGGCTACAAGGTTTAGAACTCTGTCAGCAGTTTTCTGAGTAAGCATACTCCAGTCAGCTTCTGTATTTCAAACAGCAATGCAGAAACATATGTACAGTTCCATAGGTGATCATATTGTAGGCTTTGTTGGAGTATGGATAAATAAAACCATGAATCAGTACATATACAAATCACACAGAGGCCCTGCTAGCAGCACTGACCAAAGTAGGCCTCACTGACAAAGGAACTAGGTATACCATATGTAGCTTACCAAAACGCTGAGCAAGTTTAACTGTTAGGCCTTATAGGCACCTCACAGGCCAACAGATAGAGAATGATTGATAAAAACCAGTACAGGACACCAAAACAGGATCAGACTAACATGGTAAATAGACTCCCTATCTGGTGACAAGGTGACACTACCTGGTTAATATTGGGATGTGGATATTCAACAAGGACAAATCTGAAGTCATGAACTTGTGATGGAATACCTGCATGTACAAATACAGACTGAGAAATGATTGCCTAGACTTCAGTACTGCACAGAAGGGCCTGGAGGTTACATTAGACCATAAGTTGAATATGAGCCAACAGTGTGCTCTTGTTGCAAGAAAAAAAAACAACAGTATACTAGGGTGTATTAACAGGAATGTTACCTGTGAAACAAAGGAAGTGATTCTTCTGTTCTATTCAACACAGATGAGGCCTCATCTTAAGTACTATGTCCAGTTTTGGGCTTCACACTTCAAGAAGGATGTGAACAGTTGGGAAAGAGCCCAGTGCTAAGTAACAAAAATGGTTAAGGGCCTCTGAGGCAAGACTTACCAGGAAAGGCTGAAAAGAACTAGGGCTATGAGGATGGGTTTATCTCTGTGACTGTAGGGGACAGGACTAGGGCCTCAAGCTGTGGCAGAAGAATTTTAGAGTGGATATTACAAAGATCTTTTTGACTACGAAGGTGGTTAAGCAGTGGAACAAAGTTATCTAGAAAAGTTGTGGAATCTCCAGCCACTGAAATTTTCAAGAGCAAGTTGGGCAGACACTTGACTGGGATGGTTTAGTCAGGAATTATACTACACCAAGCAGGACACTGGACTAGCTGACCTTGTGAGGTCCCTTCCAGCCCTGTTTTCCTATGATCCTATATTTTAGTATTTTTAGGTTATGCATGATATAAACCTGGAGCTTTATCAGTCAGTATATAGAAAGGGTCCTAGGAAACCTTAATGCTGTATATTGGGCTTGGGGGCACAAATGCATTTTATGCTTGTACAATACCTACAAATAACTTGGCTAGCACTACATACTTAATAGTCATGGACGCTTGGGATTAGGCTTGTAAACAATAAGCCTGGTTGAGCTTCTGTCACAGACCACTGAGACTGAGGCATGATATGGCTAGTAGCACCTAACCCCCCACCAAAACTGACCCCAGACAATACTGGCGACCAACTCTGAGAAAACACATTTTTATACTTCTGCACAACACACATTTCCTGTCACATCACACTACCCATGTAGAGTCAGTGAAAATGTTCTGAACTTTCAGACATCATTTTGTAGTACAAACAAAGATGATGCACTAACTTGATTGATGGAGTTGGCAGCACAGGAAGCAAGTCCAGTTCCAACAGAGGCAAGCAGGAAACAAGTGAAGTCAAAAGGGACTGGAGCCATAGCAAATCCAGCTGATGCGGTACTCACAACCAGGGCTGTAATACACAAGTGCACAACATATTTCACCACCAAAGCACCAACAATATATTATTTTCCATAAATGTACCCATTAGAGATCAGATTTGTAAGCCCCCCCGAACTACAAAGTTTAACCCTTTACACTACTATTTGTGTCACATGAGCTCAAACCCAGAGTGGAGTCCCACTGTCCTACAAATAAAAACTTAGCCATGTTCCAAGTCCCAGGCTGCAGTGGGGATAGAACCTGTCAGCACAGAACAAGGGTAGTGGCAGGGGTGGGGCAGGAGGAACACAGACTCCGGAGGTCAGGGCAGGAAGATGGGAGAAGGGGAACAGAGGCCTGTATGGAACTGAATTATTGGAGGCTCATATTAAATTCAACCCCACCACCACTGCAGAGGGGAAAGCAGTAGTGGTGGGGGAGGCCGGGGAAGGTGCTGGGGGCAAAACAGTATAGAGGGAGATGGGGAAAGGGGAACAGAGGCCAGAGGATGAGGGAGACAGACAGCAGCAGCGGTAAGTGGAAGGGGGGCAGGGGTGGAGAACAGGAGGCAGGGGGGCAAGCTGCCTCCCCTCCCCTCCCCTCACTGCCTGACCCCCACCACCTTTCCCCCTTCCGCTGGTTTCCCCTCTGCAATGGTAGTGAGGATTAATTTAATATGGTATTCCAATAATTAGGCTCTATGCATGGAAAATTATAACATTGATACATTTTTCACATATAGAATCTAATTATTGGGGGCTTATCTTAAATTCAGGGTCATCTTGGAGGCAGATAAATATGGTAAATAGAAAAGACAAGCAAAGTTGGGAAGGAAGACAGGGAGATAAAATGACCTGCACAGGCTGAAATTGCAACAGAATTACTCTATTTGAATTACTGCTAAGAACACCTACCGTGCGTACAGATGTGTGTGGACGTTTGATTCCCCAGGGACAACTAGCAGTGGTGTACCTTGCGCCACAGCTGTTTGTCCCCAGGGAATGCCCATGCCACACAAGCTTTGGCAATTGACAACTTACCCTGGGGGGCAGTAGGGGAGGCTGGGGCCAGCAGTGGAGGTCCAGGACCTAGGGTCCTGGGGGCCTCCCGGGGCTGCAGCCACAGCGATCCTGCCAGACACAGGCTGGCCCACAGCTGCAGTGCAGCTCCAGGCAGGCCGGCTCCACTTTTCAGCAGTGCATGCTGCCTGAGCATGCACTGCTTCAGTTTTTTTTGTCCTTCGTGTTTTTTGACCCCTGGATATCCAGAGGTCAGAAGAATCCACAAGGAAAAAAAAATGGAGCAGCGCAGGCTCAGGCATCATGCCTTTGCAACACGGAGAAAGCTGAACTGTGCGGTACATGGCGCTGCAAACTTGTTTGCAGCACCACATACCACGCGACTGTGCTAGTCTTGATGCACCCGCAGGGTGCATCTACACATGATGCAATGTCACCATAACAACGCACTACAGCAACATAGCTCATTGCTATGGTGGCACAGTGTCAGCAGACACAAACTGTGATGCAAATGCTACATCGCTGTAACAAGCACCTTGCTATAGCACATGATTATGGCGACATAGCTGCTAAAAATAACCGTGCGCTGCCAGGATGGGTCAGTAACAGATCTACAGAAGCAACACATTAAGAGGCCACTCCCTTTGCCCAAATGCTAGTACATGTGCACACAAACCTATCACATACTAAAATTGAGACAGAAGTTGTGCATGATCACAAATGGGTTTCTAGACAAGAAAGGGAGGCATGTATGAGACATCCTGTCCTAAGCAGTCCATACTTTGGCAAAGTTGGAGAACTCCTGTATTAGACACTTCATATTGGCAGTTAAAAGGTGGTGGTTGTTGGCACAACTGCGTTAGAGACTATAGCCAAAATATTCAGAACAGATTGCCTAAAGGTAAACGCCTAAGAGCAGCTCAATTTTCAGAGGTGTTGAGTACACCTAATTCTATTAGGAGCTGTAGGTACACAGCACCTGTGAAAACCAGGCTAATGATGTTTGAGCGCCCAAGAAAAAGTCTTCATATTTAAAAAATTCTTGGTTTTCTTAGTAAACAGTACAAGGAAATATGAAACTTGCTGAAATTCACTGTTTTTCAACTGATTAAGTTAATAAAATGCAAAGAGATGATGGTGAAACAGTGGTGTTTGCATTTCTAAGAGTGATTACATTCATTTTTTGGTATTATAAATCACACTTTCACTTCCAGACAAGAATTTAATTAAAACTTATCAGAGAGAGCACTTTACACTCATTCATTACAGCACAACACCAACTCATTTACAGACGGAGAAAGGTGGAGCAGACTGGCAAACAGTCCATGTAACATTACCATTACACTGACCTCAAACAAATTCTAATACAGTATAGCCAAAGTGCTAATTAAAGTCTCCATTGATTTCTCTAGATTAATTTCAGTCAGTCATTTCAGTGTGACTTATCAGGATCTCATTAAAAAGCCTGTAGTACATTTTCTCATTTAACCAAGCTGAAACAGGTATTTTTAGATGTTTGTCCAGTGCTCTGGACTTAAGTAAAAGTTCTTGCTGCCTGAGCCACATTTTCAAATGCAGCATGTTACATCCTCATTGCAGCAAGTTTATTTTCCTTTTCTTGTGGAGGCAAACATGAATTTTATAATCTACTCTGCATTCTTCTCATGAAAGAAATGTACATGTAATTGAGATTACTTCAAGGGAATGAGGTCATTCACTCTGTGTTTGTTTTTTGATCCTTGTTAGCTTAGTGCTTTGGGGGCAAAATTAACTATACTTTATTGTATAATGGATGGAATTGATTTTTTCAAGATTTGTTGAGGAGGCCTGCCACTGTGTGTACTTTTCAAGAATAAGTCTGGATTTAAAAGTTACATTCTCAAAGACAACGTTTTTCTTGTATTGAACATACCTAGTTTTATTAGAAAAAGGGAAAGCATTTTCCTATGGACTATTTAAGATTGGAATAAGAAGCACACTGTGCACTGATAAGTAAAAAAGAGATGTATTATGGTGTTTCCAGCATAAGAATACACTCAAGGGGACTATAACCACATATTTCTTTTTCAGCTTCATTGTAATATGTTCTTTCTTTATAAACCTTGAAATTTGTGTGTACATCCCTATTACATACCTAGCTTCTGAAAACAAAGGAAAAATATACAAGATCAAACAATTCTGTTTACCAACCATTTTTTGCCTTTGTTCTGGTGGCCATATACATTTCATTACATTTTTTTTTAAATGCAGCTTGTACCTCTCTTATCAGATAATAAACAGAGTGGGAAAGCAAGAGGAAAAAGTGTACTTTAACAATTTTACTGTCTTTCTAAAACTTACTATGCCCCTCAAGAAAAAAATAGCCTCCTTTAAAGCTTATATATCAGAAGAGATGTGCTTCTTAGACTCACACACTTTGTTCACTGGAATGCTAAATACAATGTCAATGTTGGTGCTACCGGACTCATTTGGAGTAAGCTCAAGTAGATTTTCTTGCAAATTACAAGTTGTACATTAAAAGACAAACTTCTAAAGCATTCTTGATTTTAGAACAGTATTTTGAAACAAATGCTATTATCATTTCATGCAGACATTAAAATGCAATATTATGAAACAGCTGACTGTGATAATCACAAAACAGTTTTAATTCACTCTGGGCTATTTATTTTTCCTGCTTTCTCTGTGTAGTGTAAAATAATTTGTTAGAAAGCTATCATTTTTGGGCTTTGTTTGCAAAAGGACAAAAATAACTGCAAAATTAAGAACTTTTATCTGACAGGATTTAGATAAAGTTAGTTCAAGATCAAACAACAATCTAAACAATGAAAACTGATTTGTTTTAATCAAAGCACCTAGCTATATTAAAGTGATAATTTGAAAAAAACAACTTCTGTTCTCAGTTATAAGAGCAGAACTTCACTTAAACTTCATGGAAACAAATGGAATCTTCCCCTGGTGCAATTAAGAGAAATATTTTAGCTTATAGATTCTTTTTTTCCTTCTTGTTATTCTACTTTGGGAGCATTATGTAAATGCTATTACGCCAAGGTAGATAACTCATTTCCATTTACAGACAGGAAAGAGATACAGACATGACATTTGATTTTTTGGTAGTCACTCAGCAGTTGATAGCAGAAATCCCATTTTGGTTGCCATCCGCTGGACTCTCTTTAATTTGTCCACATCCTTTCTGAATTGGGGGACCCAAAAATAAACACAGTACTCCAGATATGGCCTCACCAGTGCTGAATACAGGGGAATAATCACTTCTCTGGTAGGAGTGTTGCCAGCTGGTCCAATGCATCCCAGAATGCTGTTAGCCTTCTTAACAACAAAGGCACACTGCTGACTCATATTCAGCTTGTTGTCCACTGTAACCCCCAGGTCCTTTTCTGCAGAGCTCCTGCCCAGCCAGTCGGTACCCAGCCTGTACTGGTGCATGCGAATGATCCATCCTTTTTAAGTGCAGGACTTTGCTCTTGTACTTGTTGAACCTCATGAGACTATTTTTGGCCCAGTTCTCCAGTTTGTCTAGGTTGCTCTGAATCCTAGTCCTACACCTTGAGTGAGGATTTAGTTAGGGAGCTTCTGGAGGGGCTGGACGTTTTTAAGTCAGCCGGCCCAGATGATCTTCACCCTAGAGTCCTGAAGGAACTCACTGGGGTCATTGCAAGTCCCTTGGCATGGCTTTATGAACACTCGTGGTGCTCTGGAGAGATGCCGGAGGACTGGAAGAGGGCCAATGTAGTTCCCATCTACAAAAAGGGGAGGAAAGAGGACCTGGGGAACTACAGGCCAGTCAGCCTTACCTTGATCCTGGGCAAGCTGTTCGAGAAAATTATTCTGGCAC